CGTGTGTGTGTGTGTGTGTGCCGCGCGTGCGCGTTCAATGTGTGCGTGTGCGTGCCGCGTGTGTGTGTGCGTGTGTGTGCGTGTGTGTGTGTGTGTGCGTGTGCGTATGCGCGCGTGTGTGTGTGTGCGCGTGTGCGTGCGTGCGCGCGTGCGCACGTGCGCGCGCGCGTGCGATTGCGTGCGTTTGCGCGCGCGCGCGCCCCGCGCCGCCTGCGCATGTACCGTCCACGCGCGCTAGCCCTATGTCGCCGCGGGGCCTGGCCGCCGAGCGCGGCGCGGAGCGAGTGCGCGCGCGGCCAATGTAATGAAGGCGCGCACAGTGCGGTCACGCGAGCGCGCGCGCGCGCGATCGTGGTTCAAGATCAATGCGCGAACGGGCGTGCACATATGCGCGCGCGGCGCGCGTGCCCGCGCGCGCGGCACTTGGCGTGCGCACGCGCAACTTTTTTCTTTTTTGCTTGCAATATTCACATCGGGCAGCGCGGGTCCCCCCTTTCGCCTGCGCAGCGGCGCGGATGCGACCGCGGCGCGCAGGTGGGATCATATGAAGATCCCGCGCCGCGGATTGACTGGCCCGAGAGGATCGATCGGGCGTGGGGGGGGGGGGTGGTGGTGCTTACGGACCCGCGGGGGGAATTGGGGGCCCTTCGAGGGCCCTGGCCATGGCCGTAGCGCGGATTCCGACCAAAAATCTAGCAAAAAAAAAAAAAACAAAAAAAAAAAACGATTGCGAAATTTTGAGGAAACGGCATGACAAACATGAAAAACATGAAAAACATGAAACAACATGAAAACATAGAAACACATTAAAAACATGAACAACATGAAAAACATTTTTTTTTTTTTTTAAAAAAAAAAAAAAATAAACATGAAGAAAACATTAAAAACATAGAAACACATGAAAAAAACTTCAAAAACATGAAAAACATGAAAAACATGAACAACATGAACAAACATTAAAAACATTAGGAAAACATGCAACAACATAGAAAAACAGTTAAAAACATTGAAAACATGAAAAACATGAAAAACATTAGAAACATGAAGAAAACATGAAAAACATAGCAAAACATGAAACAACATTAAAAACATGAAAACAATGAAAACATGAAGAAACATAGAAACACATGAAAACAATGAAAAAAAACATTAAAACATGAAAAAACATTAAAAACATAAGAAAACATCAAAAAACATAGAAACACATGAAAAAACATTAAAAACATTAAAAACATGAAAAACATGAGCAACATGAAAAAACATGAAAAACATTAGGAAAACATTAAACAACATAGAAAAACACGAAAAAACATTAAAAACATGAAAAACATTAAAAACATTTAAAACATGCTGAAAACATGAGAAACAGAAAAACATGAAACAGCATTAAAAAACAGGAAAAACATGAAAACAACATTAAAAACATGAAGAAAACATGAAACAACATAGAAACACATGAAAAAAACATTAAAACCATGAAAAACATGAACACATATTAAAATCATGAAGAAAACATGAAAAACCAAAGAAACACATGAAAAACATTAAAAACATGAAAAACATGAAAAACATGACAAACATAAAAAAACATAAGAACACGTTAAACAACATAGAAAAACATTAAAAATATCAAAAACACGAAAAACATGAAAAACATAAAAAAACATTAAAAACATGAAGAAAACATGAAAAACATAGAAAAACATAAAACACACATTAAAAACATGAAACACATCCGCAAACGTTTCCACCCCCCCAAAAAAAAAAACATGGCCGCGCTCGACAACCCCCCCTTTGGCCCAGCAGGGCCTCTACCCCAAGGCGCAGTAGTAAAAAGCCAGTAGAAAGCCGCCAGCGTATGCAGAGCCGCGCGACTTGTCCGTCTGAAGGAAGCCCAGGCGCACCTGGGCGGCACTCTCTCTTTGCACGCGCCCCCCCTTCCCATGAATCGGCCGATCGGTTGGTCGCTCGGTCGGTCACGTCGGTCGGTCGTCACGGTCGGTGGGTCGGTCGGTCGGTCGGTCAGCCGATCGGTCTGTCATTCGTGCGCGCGCGCGCGTGCGCCAGCGTGCACGCGTGCGCGCCTGCTTCATGTATCACGCGCCTGCACGTGCTACGGGCTGCCCACGCGTATGCATATGGCGCGTGCGTGCCTATACATGTACACGTGTGTACCATGTTTACACGTGCAGGTGTGAAATGACTGCCTGCATTCACGTGCCCGTGTGCACTTGGGAAGACGGTTGCACGTGTATACGTGCACAAGTGTGTTACAGCCGCATGCGCGCGTATCTGTGTATATTTGTTTGCACAAGCATACACCTGTATGTATGTATGTATATATATACATACATACATCTATGTATATATATATATATGCAGGTGTCTGTCCATGTATGTATGTAATGTAATAGAATGGAATGGAATGGGATGTAATGTAATGTAATGTAGTGTAATGTAATGCAGTGTAATGTATGTATGTATGCATGTATGCACGTATGTATGTGTGTATATGTAAGTATGCATGTATGTAGGTACGTATATGTGTGTATGTGTGTTTGTTTGTTTGTTTGTATGTATGTCTGTATGTATATATGTATGTATGTATGTATGTATGCATGTATCTACGTATGTACACATCTATGCATATATGCACGTTCGCACGCACGCATGCGCCCGAGACCCCAAGTGCAATGTCGCACTGGGCTGGAAGTAGGAGATGTCTGTTGCACGTGGCTGGGGTTAGAAAGTGACCGCCGCACTATTCGAAGATGACTGCCGCACAGGGCTGATATTATAATCAGTTCGAAAGGTCAGCTGGCGCGCGAGCTCCTGGCAAAGAATGACAAGGGAAAGAGGGGAGAGTGAAGGGGGGGCGATGCGGAGTAGGAGGGGGAGGGGGACGAGGGAGGAGTAGGTGCACATCGCTAAGACAACCCCCTCTGGCATGCAAGTATGGGCTGGCATGTACATGTACAATATACACATGTGTGTATAACATATATATATATATATATATACAAGTGTGCGCGTGCGTGTGTCATGGGCTGGACTCTCTCGATGTCCCTTGCCATGCCGAGTTCGGGCCACTCGTGCTCCGTAAAATCCGACCCCGCTCATGTATTGCGCTCGCCTTGCCCAAGCCCCCCTTTCGCCTGCGCTGCTGGTCAGAAAGGGCTCGGGCCCAGGGTCGCGCGGGGGTTCCCTGCTGAAGCTGCTCTCGAATGCGGGGGGCAACAAACGCACAAGTAGATCACATGAGAGATTGAACGAGATCCGTCAGTGGGCACTGGCATGACTCGAACGCCAATGGTCACTGGGCAATACACATGCGTGCACGTACATGTGTATACATGTCCGCTCAGCGCGTGCACGATATGTTAACCATGCAGTGCGGGAGGCAGGGGTGGAGGCGGGGCCCACGGTGACAGGGGGAAACCGGGGTGGAGGCGGGGCCCACGGACGCGGATCCTCAGTCTGTCTGGCCAGCACGCTCAACCACGCTATATCACTGAGACTCGCGGACGCCATCTTACTGGATGGCCTGCAGGGCCTACTATTTCTTTCTTGCAGGCTGCGAGCGCCCCTGTCTGTCTGATTGCATGGCTGCCATGCTGTAGATGGCACAGAGCAAACGATCATGCAGCATCCTCGCCCGCGTCCTTCTGAAGACGGATCCCACCCCACTCATCCTCGTGCTCTTATCTAAGGCGCTTATATTATCGCATTCTTATCTTATCACACATATAGTACGATCGTGATCTTATCCCAATCTTGTATGGATAAGTATACACGCCCACTCTTATATTATGATCGTGCCCTCCTTCCTTAAGTTCCTCACCATCATAGAGCACGGCGGCCATCCTCATCCTCATCCTCATACTACTGAACTTAAGTTCCTTAAGGTCCTTAAGTTCTCTCATCCGTGGCTCCTTTGCTCCACTTCCCCCTTTAGCCCTGACTCCTCCCGCCCCTCCGCATCCCGTGGGCTCACGTCCCCATCCCTCCATATACTGCTAGCGCGCTAGCTCATGCGGGGCACAAGCCAATGAGCCCTGGCCGCAGCTCCCATCATTCTGAAGAAGCTCGCGCGGGCGAAGTGGTCGTCGGCCCTGCCCCATCATTGTCCGCATCGGGGCTCGACTCGAGATTGGCGAATCGGAAGGTGGCGTCTGCGTTCCGCATCCCGAAACCAGGCCAAGGGTGGGCCCGTCGGTCTCGATCGATCGTCGATTTCACATCGATCGAGGGTGAGATTACCACCATCGATCGGCAGGGATGTCGAGGGGGATCGAACATGGGGCGGGCTGCAGGGCGATTGCGTTTGTCTTACCCTCCGTCCGTTTCGTTTCCACCGAGCGTCTCCTTTTCCACATCCGTCCTGCGTGGGAGTCTCACTGATGCCATCTATACTGCCTCGATCCTCCAATGCAAATCCTAACTGATAGCATGCATGCTCCATCCCACGCGCCATCCAAACTACCTGCACCCCCCCCCCCCCATCCCCGACCCTGGCGAGGCAGTACATAGCTGCTCCGTTGAAGAAGACCACCACATATACCCACCAGCACCTCCCCAGGGGGGCAGACGATATCGGATTGACTCGGCACGCTGCGAATCCGCGGAACTTCTGCGTCGAAAGTCGGACAGATGATGGGATAAGGGTGAGGGGAGATCAGATGAGGAGAATTGCCGCGTCGTTCGAGCATCGATGCATACCTCGAGTTCCTGAGGGCCGACTTCGGCCCTCAGGAACTCGAGGTATCCCCATCTCCAAATCCCTCAGGCTGTCTGGGGGCAACGTGTGGGGTGCAATGCCACCGAGACGCCTCGAACCGCATGCCCTGGCACGCGATTTCTCGCCTTGTCCTGATCCTTGTCCTCCTCCTCCTCCTCCTCCTCCTCCTCCTCCTCCCCCTCCTCCTCCTCCTCTTCCTCCTCCTCCTTATCCTGGCCCTCCTCCTTTCTTTGTCACTATCTCACGTGCCCTCCCCACTGTATCACTCCGCGTCGGCGATGCCCAGCGCGGACAGCACCTCCTGCTTGACTATCTTGCCCTCGGCCTTGGGGCCACGGCCCGTCTTCACCATGACCTTCATGCGCTCTGTGATGACGATCTCCGCCGCCCGTGACGCTGAGGGCCGTACTCCTAGATGGCCTTGGGCGGCCTCGGGACACATGCTGTCCTGATGCTGGAGCAACTGCGCCCAGCCCGCCCAGCCGCCCTCCGTCATACTGCGAACGAAGACCGTGCTGATCTTCTCCATCTCGCGCCTCTTTTTCTTGACCTGGTACAGCTTGCCTCTGCGAGTGCCCTTCACAGGCAACTCGCAGGTCTCATCATCGGCGTTGGGCTGCCCAGGCAGCGGAACGTACTCCACGTGGCAGCCCTCCTCGACTATGGGATCGACCTCCTTCGGTACCTCCTCCTCCGCTTCCTCAGTGCCGTCCTTCTCCTCTTCATCTTCACCACCCTCCTCGGCCTCGACCACGACCTCCGCCACTTCCTCATCCTCCTGTTCCTTTTCCTCCTCGGGCTCGGGTGCCTTCTTTGCCTTCTTGGTGCCGCAACCTTTCTTCGCTGCTGCGGGCCTCTTCTTGGATGCTGCTGCTGCTGCTGCTGTTGCTGCTGCTGCTGCCGCTGTTGCCATTGCTGGCTTTCCTCTCTTCATGGTCGGGGCTGCTGGTGACGACGCTGCTGGTTTTCCCTTGCTAGGGGTCTGTGGTGCTGCGAATGCAGGTGGGATAGTACCAGGAGCTCTCTCGGACGAGAACGGTGCAGCGCGAGCCTCATCCTTGTCGTGCTTCCTAGATTTCGTTTTGTGTTTTTTGTCCTTCCTCTTCCTCCTGCTGCGGGTCACCGCCGTGCCAGTCATGCTACCGTAGAAAGGTAAATCCTCCGCTCCAGTGCCGTGCTGAGCCAGAGAACCATCCCGCGTCTCCCAGTCAGTCGAAGACGCTGGCGACCCCGTATCGACCTCCCTCGCCCTCCACCGAGCCTAGCAGACAGAGTAGCGACTGGGGGAGAAACGAGGAGGAGGCAAGGAGGGAGGGATAAGGGTTGAGGGAGACTCCGATGAGAGGGAACGCAGGGGTTGGAGAGGAAGGGATGACACCAACACAATGTGGGACGGAGGACGCGCTAGTAGCAGGCAAGACCTCGCTACATCGATCTGGCCTACCTCCTGGCTCGTAGCAAAAGTAAGACGGGCAATGTCGGGTGTGAATGTTGTCGGGTGACGGGGCATGGCGGGCAAGGGGGCGATCAGAGTTAAAGTGGTCCATCGGTCCCCCCCCCAGGCTCACTCGAGGAAGACGCGACCCCCGAAATTGTGGATCAGTGCCGGATGGGAGGGGGTGCCGAAAGACTCACCATCGATCGAGGTCGAGTGGTTCAGCGGTGAGTCGTTCGGTCCCTCCTCCCTCCTGCACTGCAAACTCCAAGATCCAACATAAACTGAACTTGGATGCGGCAGGCCCGCGTCGTGTCGACTCGCTGCGACCCCGCCGCGAGCGTTCAAGGTTGAGCGACGCAAGTGGCCCAGAATCGGCCATTTTGGGGCGATCTGGCGATCGGGAAGCCGCCGATCGTTCAAGGTTGAACGATCCAACGCGGTGTCAGAAACCATAGTCGAGGTCGTCACGACACGGACCTGCCGCACGCGATCACTGACGCAGGTGGCGCACATGCGAGGCCAAAGAGGCGCGTGCACATTCGAAGATGCGTCCTACCCCACCCCATGGCTTGTGGAACGCTCTCCTGCGCTCTCTAGATGTACATCCGCAAGGTGTGCTCGGGCAACTCCTCGATGTCGTCGTCCTCGTCGCAGCCCTGTCAGCCCGACTCTCGATTGCCCTTCTCCTGTTCCTATTCCCTCCTCCCCATGCGTTTGTGCTTCTCCTCCTCCAGAATCCTCCTCGAGTTAGTTCCCTCCCTCGTCTCTGCTAGAGGCCCCTCTCGTTCTCATACATCGTACAAGAACGAAGCGCCCAGGGTCAAAGGCTTGATTCACATGCCCAACCATATGCACATGCAATCAGCGGCCCTCTCATACTACACGTGGGAGGGCGGATTTGGACCAGCTGGGGGCGAGGGGGATGGGGATGCGAGCGAGGAGCACGACGATCACGATGAGATTCAACATCAGGGCACGCCATCGGGATCACTGATGCTGCACAAAGCATAGGCACGTCTGGCAGTGAGACGCGAGGGGAGGAGGAGATAGATAGATCGAGAGGTGAGGGGCAACGAGAGAGAGAGGGGGAGAGAGAGAGAGAGAGAGAGAGAGAGAGAGAGAGAGAGAGAGGACGCGATCGTAAGATCGCGCCCTCTCTCTCGAGTGGAGAGCCGCCTCATCAGCTAGCTGGGTGTCCATCGCCTCCTCCTGGATCTTGCGGCGCTGCCAGTGCGCATACATGATGCGGAGGGACCTGCACAGCAAGAACCTCGCGCCAGGGAAACCATGACTATGCACCGCAACTAATTCATGGCGTCACATTTATGCTACACACTCCGCCGCACGTCCAACCACAATACCAACAATAAGAATCAAGATATCACATGCTGCACAGACACCGTGTCGACTCGCGTGCCTCCCTTAATTAGCCTCCCCCCTCTCTGTCCGTGAAGCCTCCCTCGAGATCCCTTACGATTAGCCCCTCCTCTCCGCCCTCCCTGATCATATCTTCTCCTCCCTCCATGCGTCTCAGCTGGTGCCGCCCCCCCCTCCCGCAACCTCTCGCTCCTCCCTCCTTGCCTCCCGCCTCCTTTACCAATCTCCCACCCTCCCTTGACCTCAGTTCCCCCGTGCATCTAACAGGCACATTTTTCTGACATCATTCCTCCTGCAAGCTGCCTCCTGGCTTGCACGACGGTCTTCGCGGGCTTCCTGCCCTTCATCACTCTGTAGCCGTTCTCGAACTTCTCACCGTACAGCTTGTCCCAGACGGCCTGGGGCGCAGGGGGGCCCTCTTAAAAAACACACTGCTGATAGCAATGGCACGTTTCAAGCGTGATCTGTTCACGCACACGCACGCACCTCAAACTCAACATGATACGTGATGGGACCTGCTCCCACTGCCCTCTCTCCTCTCTCCTTCGCTGCCATTGCCCTTCCCTCCCCTCCCCTTTCCTCCCCCTCGTACCTCCACTCACACCCTCTTATACACCAAGGCGTAGCCTCCCTCCTCATTGCCTTCGCTATTCGCTCCCTGTCCCCAGCAACGCGATCCAGCCTCCATGTTCTTCTGTGAGATGCGCATGCCCTCCATCTCGAGCGTCATCGCGATGAGCGTGCTTCGAATACCTCCCCTGATCCTCGCTTCATGCACTTTCCCCCGTACCCTCGCTCACCGCCTCCGAGTCTTTCCTTACCCGTACCCTTGCTGCTCTCCGTCTTTCCTTTGCTCGAGTGGGCGACAAGATCTTGTCGCTCCCTGTCCCCGCTTACCTCCCTCCCCTTACCCTCGGCCCTCTCGGTCCAACCTCACCTCCAGGCCTGCACCCTGCTATAGCAGCAGGTCCTCGACCCCTCCATGCATCCCTCCACGCCCTCGCTCCCCTTCCTAACCCTGCACTTCCCTCCATACCCTCGAGTCTTCGCATCTTATCCTGACCCCCCCCGTCCCACCTGCCAGGATTCTGGCTGAGGCCGACAGGAAGAGGACTTCGCTGGGTAGCTCGACCAGTCGGGGATGTCGTCATAGCCTACGGCCGCGGAGGGCGGTCGGGCCCTGAGCCTCATCATCACCCTCGCCCTCAGACTCACCCGCGCCCTCGATCCACATCCTCATCCTCGCCCTCGATCAGCTTCACTCGCAGCGATGGGGGCGAGGCAGAAGGTCCGCGAGAGTGAGGGTGATGATGAAAACGCCTCCCCCCCTCCCTCCCCTAACCTCCCGTCCCCGAGAGCGAGGGTGATGATGAAGCCCTCGATCCGCTTTACTCGCAGCGACGGGGACGAGGTCAGCGAGAGTGAGGGTGATGATGATGATCATGCTCCTCTATCCTCCCGTCCTCGAGTGAGGTCACATTCCCCTAACCTCGGATCCCCTCCTCTATCCTCCCCTCCATCCCCTAACCTCCCGTCCTCGAGTGCGGTCTCATTCCTCCCCTCACCTGTTCCTCAATCTTTATCCGTATCCATTCCCTTCTGCGATTCCCTTCTTACCCTTCCCTCTCCCACCTCCTTCACCCCTCTCTCCTGGCTGGCAACGGCCTGGCAACTTCGGGTGGGTCTCGTCCACCGTGGTTCCGATCGCCTCGCAGGCGGGCGGAGGCAACCGATCGACGACAACAACACGACCGCTAACGGGGCTACACATGACCGCCTGTTGCCCCCCCTTCTCCCTGGAAATGTCTTCCCCTCTATGCTCCTCGACGTGCTCGTGATCCTCCTGATCCCCCTCATCCCCCTCGATCTCTACCCCTCCTTCCTCTTCTGTCCCTTCTTTCCTCCCCCCTGCATCCTCTATTCCTCCTTTCCTTTCTCCTTCAATCGAGAACGCTCCCATCACAAATGCGGTGGCCTCTGCCATAATGGCAAGGTCAATGTCAGCCGTCTTCTTGTTCCTGAGCTTTTCCATCGCGGCTGCAGCCTGGCGATGGAAAATCGAGACGAAGACTCGAGGTGGAGAGGGCAGCGGAGGAGAAGGAGAAGGACGAGGGCGAAAACGGCCTCGGCTTCGGCCTTGACCAACGCCATGTGCGAGCGATATCGTCGTACGAACTGGCGTCGCGCCCATCTGCACCATCGCCTCGGGATGGTGTGGCCCTGGGCACCGTCGAGGAACCGATCTGACAAGACCCGCGGCTTCGGGGCGTCCTGGGGCCCGGAGGAGCAGGAGGAGGAGGATGAGGAGGAAGATCTCCAGGAGCGGCGCTCAGAGGAGGAGCAAGTTCAGGAATGACGGGGCGGGTGGAGGAGGGGGAGATTCGAGGAGGAGGAGGAGGGGGATCTCGAGGAGGAGGAGGAGGAAAAGGCGAGGATCCCAAGAAGGATGGATCGAGGAAGGATGGAGGAGAGAGGATGAGTCCTCGGGGCGCCACTCTGGCACCCCAGCGGCGTCGCGCGCCATGTCCACCAGCCGCGGCACCTCCTCGAGCGATGGGTGGGCCATGGCGCCTCGGGACGGCCGAAATTGATGGATCGACCGTGCCGAGCGGTCGTGCCGAGCGGTCGTGCCGAGCGGTCGGCGCGACCGCTCGGCACGACCGTTCGGCATGACCGCGCTGGTGGACATGGCGGTCGGCCGCGTGGTCCCCTCTCCCCCCGCACGGCCTCCAGGGCGGGCGACGCCGCGCGGCCGCGGCCGCGGGCGGCGCGCGCGCGCGTCGCCGCGCGGCGACGCGCGCGAGGGCGCTCCCGCGCGGGCGCGCCCTTGAGCAGGGGCGACGGCAGAGCGCGCCGCGAGCGCGCGAGCAAGGCAGGAGGGTCGAGGTGGAAGAAGGAGGAGGAGGAGAAGAAGAAGAAGAAGAATAAGGATAATCTAGTTTATATATATATATATAAAGGATCAACTCTCACGATCGAGTGCGCATTCTGGTGGGTGCCAGCATGGTAAGCCAAGACATCATTGCCTACTACCAAAAAAAACAAGACATCTAGGAAAAATCAAGACATCCAATAACAAAAACAAGACATACCATAAAAAATCAAGACGCGTCGGAATCGAATCTAAAAATCAAGCCAATTCCCGAAAAGAACAAGTCAAACCGTCGTCGTGAAAAAAATGCGACTCTCAGAGGTCTGGGTTGCTAGTTGCAAGATCCAGATGGCGGCGAACATGTCCCACTTATACCTCTGCATGGGCCAGCCCTCGAGTTGTCTGCGGATTTCGAGGGCAATCTGGCGTTGGACGCCGCGCGCCATGTTCTGCACTGCTTGCTCCGGGACCACGGCAGCGCATCTACCCGGCATCCCCCGCGCGATGCGGACCGCATCTTCGTCGGCTCTTACCAGTTCGGCCGGGGGCGGCCTGCGCGCGCGCACTAGTGCCTCGGCGAGCTCCGGAAAGTGAGTGGGTCTGGCGGCCCAGGGAGTGGGTTGAGTGAAGCCGAGGTACGTCTAGGAAGTGGCTGTTGGGAGGGAGCGTGGACCCTCAGCCCCACTGAAGCGGGAGTTGGTGTGGCTGTGGGAGCAGAGTCCAGGCGTGGAACGTGGATGGGGCCCGCGGCAAGCTGAAGTTTGAGTCTCGCTGGAGGTCTGTCAGCACCCCTCGTGGCTGCCCTAATGTCCGCGTCCGCAGGGAGGAGCACCGTCACCCAGGTGGGGACTGAAGTGAAAAGGAAACCTGCCTCACCGCTAGTGGTGGCCTCAACGGCCCCGCCAGCCGCTATTGCGGCGAGTAAGTATTCTCCGGGCTGTAGGACGGTTTCGTAGTCCCGTAGGCCACTTCCCTGCGACATGCTAGGTACCGTATTGGGCGCGCTCCTGCTCATCGCCCTGGCGTTATCTCGGAGCCAGTCCCCCGTGATGATAGGTGGGGCAGCTCTGGTGTTGGCTGGGTGTGAGGTACCGTCCGGGCCATCCGGGAATGGCCAGAGTCGAGTTAGTATCTGGGCGTTCGCTGAGCCGACCGATGCAGAGAAGAGCCGAAGCGTACTGTGTCCAGGGAGCCAAGCGTCAGGGCGCATGCTGCGTGGGCGAATTTCTCCCAGCTGCGCCCCGTGCCTGTCGAGAGTGGTGATCTCGAGGACTTGGGGCTGAATGGCGCGTCTGGGGGCCTGTCGTACAGAGATTCTGGCCAGCGCGTCCACATGCTCTTGCAGTTCCCTGGATGTCGCAGCCGCTCTGTGCATGGGGTCCCTGCTAGGTGTGGCGGGGAAGATCCTGACAGTCTGGGCTCCGATCACAATACAACAGGTGCCCACGAAGGCTGCTGCCATGGCGTCGGCCGCAGCTAAGCGTATGCGAACTTGCGTCATGTATCTGTAGTCAGAGACGTCTGGGAACCAGGCGTATACGGTGGAAACCTGTTCGACTGTGCCGGGACCAATCGTGGCCTCTACGGCTTGCAGGACGTCCTCAGGCCGTGTTTGTCCCCATGTCAGCGAGATTCCATCTTAGGTGGCAGCCGTCCTCGGGGTCAGAGAGGCGCACAAATGGGGGTCCTCCATCCCACGGTCCTTCCAGGAGGATGCGGCGCGGTCCTTGTGCCATGGAGGAGGAGGCGTCCCCAAAAACCCGCGGAAGCTCGTCTCGGAGGTGCCTCAAGACGGGGGCGGCAATCCGTTCTGGAGTGGAGATCAGGAGAAGCCCCGTCCCGCAAATTCCGACTCTGTGTCCCATGGCTCCAGCTGTTGTGGAGGCTACAGAGTGGGCTATGCAGATCGCTCTGAGGGGAACTGGGATGTGTACAGAGTCACTTGTCTCGTATGTTCTCCAGACGCATGCCGTCTGGTAGGCCAGCATGGTGGTTTGAGCTGCCGCCTGCAGATTATCCAGGGGGGCACGTATGCCGTCCTCACAGCTCGTGGGTCTCGATGCTCTGCAGCGGAGAACGTGGTGGAAGAGCATCTCGAGTCCCTGGCATCTCAGGAGCTCGTCCCGGGGGAGCTGCACTCTCGTGGTGACCCAGTCGGCTGCGATCATCCCGTTGTGGGATCGCCCTAGTTCATCCCTCCATCTCATGATCTGCGCAACGACGCCGTCATTGCCGCTCTCAGGGGTTAGGATGTGTAGCGCATCAGAGGTGTCCCCATTCCTTCCACCCCAGTGCACAACTATTGACGGGGGTAGGATCGTGCGCAGTGTCCTGCCCTCTAGGTCGAGCTGAGCGGCGAAGAGTTGCTGCATTGGTGGGCTGGGCTTGCCTGTTCAGTAGGGGTGTCCAATCGGCACGAGATGGGTAATCTTGCTGGCGGCTCGGTATCGCCACTGCGCGTTTGCCAGGGCTGCGAGCTCGACCGGATCCGGTCCTCCAGGTGACGGCACTCCCTCGGTGGCCAGGGCGACGAGACAGCATGGGCTGCCCGCGGCGGTAGCTGCCGTCAGGGCGGCATCCATGTCTTGAGCTAGGGCATCTACCACGAGGATTGTTGGGGCGGCGCTCCCCTGAGGCTGGTTCCTGCGCTCCGAGACTACTGCTTTGATCTGCTCCCAGGCGTCTGGGCCTGCGAGGGCAAAGGTGACTCCAGTCTCATCCGCTACACGTTCGCCGAGGTAGGTGCTTCTGGAAATTACCAGATCGGCTGCAATGTCTCGGACGGCCGCGGTGAGCAGCCCTACCGGGAACTGCCCAGGTCCCCTCCTCATGGGTTCATCCTCTGGGGGGTTCCGTCCCAGTAGCAGTGCCCATCTTCCGAAAGTGATTCGCGGGGCTTGCCGTATCCTATCTGTCCTGTTGGTGGGACCAGGGGGTCGCTGCGGAGGCGAGGTCCCAGGTCCCTGCGTAATGTTGTGGGTGTCGTCGGAGTCCATGCCGCTTCCACCGTTCCCGCCGTCAGGTGGGGTCCCATCCACTTCCATCGGGGCATGACGTGCCTCCTGCGCGGTTCTCCTCTCGGTAACGTGCGCGTGGATTCTGCGCATGTCTGAAAGTGTGACGTATGTGTGGGGACGCCGGATGGAGAGTGTTTGTGCTCTGAGGCAGTCCAGATCTGGGGCCAGGTGCCTGAAGGCATCGGCTAACTCTTGCAGGCTCAGGAAGGGCTGCAGTGGGAGAAGGGTCCCGTCGCGGAGCTGTAGGAGGTCTGGTGGTACCGCAATGTCCGCGGCGTCGGCATCTCGCGGTCGGTCTGGAATCCTTACGGAGACGCTACCCCTATCGACGGAGCGGCATATGGGACAGTTCACTGGGAAGCATCTTCCGTTGGACAGGGCCTGCGATGGTTGGCTAATCCTCCACTGTCTCAGGCATTCGGCGTGATGCAGGTGGCCGCATGGTACCAGGGCTTCCGCGAAACCTAAGATGTCATCGCTGCAGATCATGCGTCGAGGAGCTCCTACCTCCCGGTCCCAGGGAGGAACTTCCACGGCGTCCATGCTTTCCGGAGGGAGCCTGACACTGTCCCCAGGAGGGTGGCTGAGTTGGGATAAGCCATCCCCCAGGCTCTCGATGAGGGCTCTGGCGGACACGCTGGCGTCGAGGTGCGTCAGACTAGCTCCTTCACTGAGGTGGGATGTCAGGGCCTGGATTTGTGAGTTGCTGAGGTCGGAGTATGGAGCTAGATCGGCATCCGGGAAGTCCCTCCGAAGGCAGGCCACGAGGTCTTCCGGCGTGTGCATCTCATTCCTGGTCATCCAGCGGTAGAGAACGTCGTGGGGTCGGGAGTCCAGGGCCCGCACAGTCAGCACTGGCTTGAGGAGGGGGAAGTAGTGTGGGGCCAGGCAGAGCCACAGGGCTCTAGAGGTCCAGGGACCCGGTTGTCGATCTACCCTGTGTTCCAGGAGCACGCTTTGTGCGAGGCACTGTGCCTGGTCTCCATTGACAGAGGTCCTTTCTCCGGGGGCCGGCATGGTACCTCTGCCTGCCTCCTCTTCATCCCGCTGCCTGGCGTCGAGAGTGCGTGTGAGTCTGTCCAGGAGCCCTTCTCTGGTACTGCCAGCCGGTAACCTGCCCTGGGGAGTAGCGAAGCTTGCCCGGTTTAGCATCTGTCTTATATCCGCGTGCCATGGCGTGGTTGTGCTTGCGGCTTCCACAGTTTCGGTTTCTACTTCAGGGCGTGGTCTGCCTTCGCTCGCGGGCCCGCTGTTCCTTGGGTTTGACCTCGGTCCGATGCTGGCCATTTGCGCCCGGACCCTCGCTCCAGCCTCCACCGCCTGCCGATCTCCAGACAGGATGGCAGTCTGAAGGAAGCCGCATCCAGGTGCAGCATCATTCGCTCCTTGAGCTGGGGTGCGATGTAGCCGCCGACCTCGGGGGCCTCGAGCGACGCACCGGCTGCCCTGGACGCCATATCTGCTTCGGATGCGAGCGCTAACTGGGCATCCCTGTAGGAGCTGACGCCTCGTGCTCTCCACCAGGCTGCTGCATGTTCGATAATAGCGGTGCTAAGGTTGCTGCTCCTGAAGGCTAGTTCGAAGACATTTCGACCTCTGTTGGTGGCTGTGCCCTATATAAAGGGGGCCAGGATACTGCTCCAACGCATGCCAGGGGTGACGGAGTTGCTTGCGACCCTCGCCCTGATTCTCCTCACCTCCTCGATGAATGCGTCTCGCTGCGACCGCTCCGCCTGAGAAAGCCCCTCCTCCAGGACTGGGGGGGGGTCTTTGGGGAGGCCTGGCAACTACCCCTTCTAAGCCCGCGTGGCTGTCCCTGCCGTTGCGGGGGTTGTCCACGTCCATGGGGGCGCGCCCTTCGCTAGGACGCCCAGAACGCTCTTGGTCCTGCCCCCTGCTGTCTGCGTCCAGTCGTCTGATGACGGCGTCCGTGACGAGGTTTCCCAGGGGGGTACCCTGCCCCATTTGGGGAAGTATTGGGCGCCAGTCAGTGCGTGCGGCTGCTTGCGGCGCCCTTCTCATTACTTCTGCTGTTTCAGAGTGGGGGCTGTCTCTATTGTGCCACCAGCGTCTGCTGAGATCGGTGTGATCACGTGTGTCGCTTATAGCGCGGTCAAGGTGGTCCCCGCCGATGGTGTATCTTAGCCAGCAGAGGTCGTCCAGGTGCACCCGAGTGTTCGGTCCAATGGGAACGGATGTAGTTGTTCTGCTGGGTAGTGGGGGCCTCCGGCATGTTTGTGGGTGAGTGTCTGTGCCGCCGTGGTAGAGAGAGGGAGGGAACCACCCAACGAGCCGACCATGGGGGTGGGTCCTGATGATGTGCCGAATGTCCTGGCAGACGTTTAAGGCCCAGGAGCCTGGCGCTGAGCAAAGTAAAGCCAGCGAGATCGACGCTGTGCGGAGTTGCCAATCGCTTCCGACCTCTTCGAGGCCTCCTGAGTCTTCGTATGACCAGATTTCAGGTAGGCCTGCAGCGTGGGCCACCATATGCCTCCAGGCTCCCAGGAGTTCACCCACAAGCCACGTTGGGGTGAAGTCGGAGGGGCCAGGCGGCGTGGGGGAGTACAGGTGATCGGCGATTGGGGCGTATCGCATGCCCGTTTTGACGAGCTGAATCAACAGAGTCCCGCCCAGGAGGTCGAGGGCGTGCCTGTTGGGTGGCTGGCCAAGGTCTGCTCCTGGGAGACTCTGAGGTGAGGCGTCTGCTCGCGGCTGCTCTGGGTTGTAACTCCAGGGGCTGGCCAGTCTGTGGCAAGTGATACAGGTTTGTCCTGTGGGATCTCGGAGCACCCAGGTGCCACAGAAATTACATCTCTCTCCTGGGCAGAAAAAAGTCCCGCAGCCGCAGTCTGTGAGCTGTGGTGGACCATGGCCAAGCGTCGTCGCTACTGTCGCTTCCTTGGATGGGGACTCCAGGGATGCCCGCGGAGCTGGCGGGTATCCCCGAGAGGGCGGCCTCTACCCATGGGACTGGGCCTCTACCTGCTTGTCGTCTCGAGTGCACGTCACTTCCCATACGCTCGAGGTTCCCTCTCGTGATGGCCCACTGCCTGACGTCCCCGTGGTCCGGAAAGTGGACTATGTTTTGCCTGCGCTCGTGAAGCAGGACTCGATGGGCGCAACCCATGACCTCGTCATCCATGGGGTCCTGCGCCCCGTCTGCTCGGTTGGGGCCACCGATGTGCAGGGGGGCAGATTCCTCAGGGGATCTGGTGGGCATGAGCATCCTATCTGTGTCATATCCGCTCGGGAGCTCCATTCCTATGTCGCAGTCGTGTGCAGCTGCGGCCATGGCAACGTACTCGAGCCGTGCTAGTTGCCTCTCAGTCACTGAGGGGTTGGCTGCGTCCATTCTTTCACTCCTTATACTGGGATCATGAGTAATGCTCGCAAAGCGGAAGGCGAGGACCTGGACTGGGTCCGGCTGAACGCCTCCCAGACGCCCTTCATAGTCTCCTCCAGTGGTGGACCATACCAGCCAGGTGTGGTCCAGGATAGCGAGAATTGGGGCTGAAATGGCGACCTCGGAGTAACGTCCAGGGAGGGCTGGTTCTACGGGAGCCGTGCGCATGGGGCTGTCAGCTCGTATGCCTGGGTGGCCTGGGCGGTGCCTCCTCCACGCGTGGTGTATGAAGAGCTCCAGGTTGCTGGTCTCCCGATATGTTCTCGGCGCTCCGCGGTTGGGGACCTCGCGCCATGGCCCCTCAGTGTGCACAAGGTGCTGGCGTGAGGCCCTCATGGTGCCCCCCCTGCCAGAGATCCTGGCGTCTGCAACGCGCGGGCCACAGATGGGTCCGTCCGCCTCCCGGCTGGCCGCCCAGTCAGCATTCGTGTGCCCAGTGGCGTCCAGCCACCGTGCGTGGAGGTCCGCAGCGCTTTGCCCCCTGCTCCTCAGCGCTTGGCTGGGGTCGTCGAGGTCTGAGGGGGTGGGCGGGTTCTCCATTCGCAGATCATCTTCCAGGGCGAGATCTGGAGATGGGTAGGAGGGGGGGGATCCGTGAGGACGGGGCCCCTGTGTGCCGTGTGGCTGACCTCGAGGGGCGCGCCGCTGTTCGTCCAAAGGAGAGGCCCCCGCTCTCTGCCCTGTGACGAGTAGTCAGGTCCACGACGGCATCCACCGAGCGCAGCGTTAAGAAACTCGAGCCCAGGGGGCAGGTCGGGAGGGGAGAAATCGGGGGAAGAGCTGGTGGACGAGGGGAGAAAGGCACGAGGAGATCCATCCGCCGGGATCGGAGACCTTGCCCGATCGATCGGATCGACATGAGGAGCGGCCCCGACCGCGGGATCGGAAGCAACCCTGGGGGTGCTGGGCGAACGAGGAGGCCCGTCAGGCCTTCCAACGGCCAAACCCATGGCAAGACAGAGGCGATCGATCATCCCTGTGTAGGAGGGCGCCTCCCTGCGATCACTGGAGCCGGGGACCCCCGACTCTCGCACCCCTCCCTCGGGCGCGAGGCAAGGCCCGTGGCCTGCTCCTGGGAGGCACCGGGAGGCCGCGGCATCAGCGCGTATACTGAAGACGCTGTCCCGTCCCGCCTCTGTGGGGGCAGGGTCACAGGTCATGTCTTCCCACTGCCAACGATCCCTGGGTTGAACGCCGTGCGCCTCTCTCTGCGTGCCGTCGTCCGGTCCAGGGTAGCGACCGAAGGTCGCGCGTTCTGTGTGTATCGCGGGGGGGAGAGCCTCATCCCCTCCTTGAGTGTGGTGCCTAGCGCTCTCGTCTCCAGTGGGTCGACTGGAGGCGGCAGCGCTGGGGTGCACATAACCACCGTACCCCCGTCCAACCCCCGTGGGGGTAGGGTCCCTGGTCCTAGCTCCCCCGTCCGTCTGTTCCCTGGGTCGAACGCCTTGGGCGTCATCCAGCCTTCCGCCATCCGCTCCAGGGTGGCGACGGAAGGTCGCACGGTTTGGGTGTAAATCAGGGATGTCGGCATCCCCCCCTTCTCCAGCATTATGCCTGCCGCTCTCAGGTGCACGGGGGCGGTCAAATGCTGCGTCGGCGGCGGGATGCCCTTCGCGGGCGGAAGGCGCGGCTCCACCGCTTAGCTCGCCAGCGGGGACGGCCTCGCCCGGCGCGGGCGCGCCCCGGGGGGGGGGGGGGTCGGCAGTGGGTTGGCGTGAGTCTTGACGGGGCGCGCAGGGGCTGCAGGCAGCGGCTTGCCCGCACCTGCTGCCTATGCCCTCGCGAGCGCCCCCTGAGGATATCAGCTCCCTGAGCGCAACATCAGAATCAACCTGCCCCCTGGGAAGACCGCGGCGGATGTTCGTCTGTTCCTCGTCGATTGTCCTAAGCGCGACAGGATCCGCGGGAGAGTTTTGTGCCGAAGCGGGGCCCTCTCCCCCCGTGGCCCTGGCAACGCCTGGGGTCGTTTCACTCTGCCCGACAGCGCCTGGAGCGAGGGAAGTTGGACGTCCTGCAGTGGGCATGGGAGCGGCGAGGGTGAGAGAGGCGGCTGGGCTAGACAGGAGGGCTTCGTGCCCAAGGTCATCGCGTCCAGGGGAGCGACGGAAGGTCGTAGCGTCGGGTTGTCCTCTGTCAACGTTGCCACGACCATCCCCCGCGGGGGTCAGCTCCCTGGTGCATTCTACCCCTACACACCGTTCCCTGGGCTGAACATCGCGGGCGTTCCTCTGCCCGTCGCGGTCCGTTCCAGGGTAGCGACGGAAGGTCGCACGTTCTGTGTGGTTTCTGGGGATGGCCGCACAACCCCCTCCTTCAATGCCACGCCTGCCGCTGTCAGGCTCCTGAAGGCGGCCTGGAGTGGTGTCAGGGTCGAGGTGCGCGCCGCAACCTGAGGACCTGTCTTCCATGCTCGAACCGTTGTGGGGGGCAGCCTCACTCGGGGCGGCCGCATCCAGAGAGGGGGGCACGGCGGAGTGAGGGCAAGAGCCCCTAGGATGCGCGACGGGGCCGAGGCGACGTGACTGCCCGTCTCCCCCCACTTCGCCTTCATGGGCGCTTGCTGGGGGTGTCGGGTCCATGCAGTCCCCATCCACGCAATCGAGGTCTCCGCGCCGGGGGCCGAGGGCAACTCCCAGCTCGTCGCGAGACTGTCCGAGAGGAGGGGGGTTCGTGGGATAATAAACTGCTTCAGGAGTGGGCCCGTCGGCCCCCGTGAGCCTAGCATCGCCATGGGCGGTCCCGCTGTGCCCAGCGCTGCCTGGAGAAAAGGAGATTGAGCGTCCAGCCGTGGGCAGAGGAAGAGCGGGGGCAAGGGAAGGGTAGCTGGGCGGGAGGGCCTCACGTCTGACATTATTACCTCCAGGATGGCGACGGAAGGTCGCCCTGTCAGTATGAAACGGAGGGCTGAACGTATCAACCCCGTCTACCGCTGCGCGTCCGTCGATCTCAAGTCCAGGGTAGCGACGGAAGGTCGCACGTTCGGTGTGTATCACAGTGCCGAGGGGATCAGCCCCTCTCTCCGATTGGCTGGGGACCATTTGTCCTCGCGTGCCCGAAGCATCGGCCGAAACGCTCCCATTCCAGGGAACATAGAGCGACGGTTACCCCGGCGGGATGGTGCCCTGAGATCCAGGGCGAGTCTGTCCAAAGTCATTTGGCCCAGTGGCCCCGAGGCCGACATCGGATGATGCGGCTCTTTCCCCCGCAGGGATGACAGGATTGTCGCCGATCGATCGCTAGCTATCAGGCCGACCATCCATGAGGCAGCGGTCCTGATCCGATCTGAGCCTCGGGCCGCTGAGCCCGTCTGCGCGGCGGGAAGGCGTTCGCGATGGCTGGCGCGCCCCGGGCCGGAGGGGGCCCAGGGCCGCGGGCCCCCGGCGCAGCGTCTGGGCGCCCCCTTGAGCGGCGGGGGACTGCCCCAGAGAGGGCAGGCCCACCAGACGGCTTGAGCCAAAGGGGCTACGGCCTCTGAAAAGAGAACGCGAAGGGTCACCAAACTATGCCTCGGGACCCCGGTATACAACAACAGCGGCTCCCGCCTTATACTTTACCCCAAGTTATTCCCAAAACGCACACTCGCGTGGGACGTCCTCACAATGTGTGCAAGAATGGCGCTCTCGCGTGGGCCTCCCTTGCCTCTTGTTGAAACGCCGCGCCCTCGACGCCCAAGAATCACGCTCTCGCCGTGGTTCTCCTGACGATTTATTTGGGAACCGCGTATCATTCGAGAATTCCTTTGGATTCACGCACGACGCACGCTTCATCACCCGCGTGCTTGACCTGGCCGCCTGGGCCCCCTTTCCCGACCCGCCCGTGCGGGTCTACCCGCGCGATCTGCCCGTCTGGTTCTGCCACATATTTTCTGCTCGTATCCCCTCCCCCTTTTACTCTCTCTCGTGTTCCATCTTCATCCCTCCACCTTGCCCCTTTCTTCCAACCGCCCCCTCTCCCCGTGCTCCAGGGGCTGCACGAAATACGCGCTGCAGAAAAGAAGTAGTTACACCCCAAGAGGGTACGATCGGGCATGGGAGGTTTGGGATACGGAGGTGCGTGCTGAGGGGCCCGCGAGCAGATAAGAGCGAACAGTGATTAACCGATGGTTCAATTTTCATTCCTGAACGATAGCGATTAAGGGTCGCCCTCTCTAGTAACCGTTGTATACTTCAACTGGAACGCGTATCCTGGGACGCGGGGTTTTTTTGACAAACGAAAACGAAAGGTCACGAAGATATGCCCCTGGCCCCCGGCCTATTATAACAACAACGGCTCCCGCATGAGACTTTTTCGCAAGTTGTTCCCAATCGCGCTCTCGCGCGAGACGCCCTCACAATGTATATAAGAATCGCACTGTCGCATGGCGCCGCGCCCTCGACAGTCAGGACTACAGCTTTCGCGGCAGAGTTCCTCACGATTTACTCGGTAATCGCGCTATCGCCCGGCCCGACACCTGCTCGCGATTCATGCTGAACGCACGCTTCAGCAACCCGCCTGCTCGAGCTGGCCGCCTGGGCCCGCCTCCCGACCCGCCCACTCGGGTCTACCCGCCCGATCTGCCCGCTTGGTTCTGCCGCGTGCTTTCTGCTCCGAGTCCCCTCCTGCTACTATCTCTCGTGTTCAATCCTCCTCCCTTCCCCTTGTCGCTTCCTTACATCCGTCCGCCCTTCCTCTGTCCTTGAAACTGCACGACATACGCGTTGCATATAGGAAAGAAATATACCGCCGAAAGGGCACGATCGAACCATATTGGAAACTCGAGCTATCGCTCGAGACTTCCTCGCGATCACGCTTCAGCAACCCGCCTGCCCTTTGTCCATCCTTCAATCCGTTCTCTCTTCCCCTGCCTTAAGGGCTCCACGAAACACACGCTGCAGATAAGATCAGCACATCTCTAAGGGGGTACCATTGGAAACGAAA